ATAGCTCAGGATTCCCTCATCTCTGCTTTGAAGGAAAACTTTATCTGTTTGTATGAATCTTGAGGGGCAAAAACAAGCGTGGTCACAGGCAGAATGATGTGTTCATGGTTCCATGGGTATGTCCCTGCCCATATAAAATATTGAACTGTGTGAGGTGCTGGTTATCTTGGGCAGGGTGGGGAGACTGTGTGAAGGAAACTGAGCCTTCTCTGTACCTACTGGCTATTTTCTTCTTGCCTCTTCCTCAAGTGTTCTCCTTCCAGACAAGCTCAATTCCGAGTTCAAAAGATTTATTTCAATACAGTACATCACTATTGAAAAGCAGTGATAAAAAGAGGACTTTGGGAGTGTCACATTTTAGACACCCAGCCAGTGCCTATGCTGGTTGTGTGATTTCATTGGGTATAATTCATTGGGTGTGATTTTCATTGGGTATAATTCTTCCTCAGCCCGGGTGCCCCCCACCCATGTTTCAGATTACAATTCCTACTGCTGGGATTTCTGAAAACGGAAGTCCAAAAAGATGGAAGCCCATCGCTTCCTCAACCCTGCTATGTGGGTTGTGCTCATGGGGAGGAGGGAATTAAAAATTACTTGACCTTCTCTTCCCACCCTAGTTCCTAGCCTGGAAATAAGGAACCCCAAAACTGGAACAAAGGCGTTTAACAAGACAAATCCTTCCTTTGCATCCTCAGTAGCTCAGGCATGCAAGATGGAGCTTGCCCCGTTGCATTCTCTCTGTTCCGTGCTTCCCAGATCTACTGACTTTACTTTTCGTCAATCCCAACTGGTTGATCAACTTGCTGTTCGATCAGGAATGGTGCCCGGAGGGGGGGGGGGACCATGACTGGCTGTGTTGTGCTGAGTTCAGACAATGACGTCGCAGCTCGTTCTGCCTCATTCACCTCCACCACAGTTGACCTTACTTGTACATTTGAATCGGTGAAAAGGGTCGAACCAAGGGAGCTCAGTCAAATTACCTCACCTTCCTGAGCTGCAGGCGGGATGAGCAAGCAATCAAGATTGCCTTCTGAGTCACTATTCAGACTCAGACGATTCAGAGTATCTCTTTGTAGGGGACAACCGAAGCACGGAGAGCCACCACTATGAGCCTGGGGCAAATGTCTCCCCGAACCAATAAGTGAGCCAGCCTTGTTTGACTTATTCACAATCTTCCCTGTTTGGCTTTTCCACAGGATGAAAGGACTGTGATGTTTCTTCATTTTGCCTAATGTTGGTAGAGAGATGAGGCAGTGATTCTTCCTTTTATTCCTCTCCCATCTGTCTGGGGTGGGTGTGACACATAGCAGACAAGCTGAAAGGGAGGGAAATGAAAGGGTGAAGGGGAGGTGAAAGAAAAGGGTTACCTATCTTTAAATCTAAAACATTCTACCCTGTTTCCCTGAAAATAAGACCTAACCTGAAAATAAGCCCTAGTATGATTTTTCAGGATGCTCGTAATATAAGCTCTACCCCAAAAAATAAGCCCCAGTGAAGTGAAACCCCACCTTCTACCATTGTGTATCAACCAGAAGATGACATCTATATTTGAATAAATGTGGATTGTTGTACATGAAAAAAATAAAATATTCCCTGAAAATAAGCCCTAATGTGGTTTTTGGAGCAAAAATGAATATAAGACCCTGTCTTATTTTAGGGGAAACACGGTAGTATTTCAAATTTCTATAAAAGCACTAAAAAGTGCTAGGTGCTGGACTATAGTAAAATCAACACATACTTGGTCACAGGATCATCATTCAACAACATCTTAATGTTACTTGTTTCTTTGTAGCTAAGAAAACATGGCTGTTAACACAGGTGTGTGTAGTGTATGTACATATTTCCCATCATATGGGTGCAGTCTGATTAGAACTCAGGAAAGTTACATTTTCGGACTACAGTTCCCATAACCACGACGACTAATGGAGGCTTCTAGAATCTGTGATGATTCCAAACTTGGGTACAGATGACAAACTTCTGTATACATATGTTAGATTCATAGACAGTGGTGGTAACTCCTCTAGTTAATGTCAGTGCTTATAATTCCCAGAGTCAAAAACTTCTATAGGTCCTTTAAAGCCAATGGCAAGCTGTGGTTCAGAGATCTTAGTCAGACAGTATCAGCCAAACACTTCTAATGTGGTCATGGTCAAATACAGAATGTTACTGATTGTTCACACAAACACGTCCTGCAGATTTCATAATGGTAGCATTTTTTAGCAAGGGCAAAGGTAAAGATGACTTGCCCCATAACCTTGTAGCACTTGTGGGAAAACCCTGAATGTTGTCTACATTATATGGTTACTTCAGTTTTGACACCACTTTAACTGTGATTGATCCACCCTACATAATCTTGCAATTTGTACTTTGTTGTGATACTTATACAGTCGTGCCCCGCTGGATGATTACCCTGCTCTACAACAAATCCACTTTATGTTGACATTTTTGCGATTGCTTTTGCAATCGCAAAACAATGTTTTAAATGGGGTTTTTTCGCTGTGCAATGATCGGTTCCCTGCTTTGGGAACCGATTTTCGCTTTACGACGATCAGCAAACAGCTGATAGTCGGGTTTCAAAATGGCTGCCGGCTGAAGAAAATGCTCCCCCGCTGTTTTCTAGGACGGATTCCTCACTTTACAGGCACCGAAAATGGCCGCCGTATGGAGGATTCCCTGCTATCCTGCCCTGGAACCATCTCGGAGTGAACTATATGGAGGATCTTTGCTGGACGAGCAGGTATTCAGCCCAAAAAAGTTGGGGACCACTGCACTAGACCACATTGGGGACCACTGCTCTATAATACAAGACAGGAAAGCTTCCCCTGCTGGCTATCTGCTAGAACTACCGTTACCTTCCCATTACTAGGCATGAATCATTGATGTTCCCCTTTCATGGTAGCTTCATGATTATGACTCTACCTTTTCACGTTTCTCTGGATTATTCTAGCATTCCCATTCAGAATGACAGACCTGACCCTTACATCTCCATCTATTTCACATTTAAACATCTGTAGAGGGCTCGCTAGCGTTATGCATCCTGATCAATACTCCCGGGCTAATTCATGGATGATTACGGACAGATTTTACATTAACATGCTACCAAAGGAAACACCAGCATCACTTTTATGTAGATACGGGAAACACGAATGCCAAAAAAGCAGGGATAATGCGATGCTTATTTGTGTAATCCCCCTCGGCCCTCAGTTTGCTGTTTTTACAATAGAAATGATAAATCACAGCGAGGAGCTGGAACAAAATATTGCAGCGTGAAGTGATTCTGTACATTTCCAGTCCCCCAACACTCAGATGGTGCTTCATGATCATTGAGCATGTTTGAGTCTCACTTTACTGATTTTGAGCCCACCCACGCATAGGTGTTGTTTCTCAGAACTTGTGCTTTGTTACTTCTACAAATATTGTGGTTTCTCGCAGTCTGCAAATACCTCCATGGTTCCACTGAATAATGCTGTTTTGGTTAGATAAGAAACAATGCTCACTTCTGCGCACTGGACGTGGAGGGGTTGTTGCTTGAGGCTGCTCACAGGGAACACATGATTCTCTTGTTAGAATAGATCCATTGGCTTATCATCAGTCCCTGCACCCACTTTGAAGAGTTGTCACCTCATATGGTTTGGCTCTGGGGTAGATGAAGGACCCATATGTCCCCATACTTGCCTGGTTTAAGAACTTCAGGGGAGAGACTGTGAGAGGGAGCCTTTACAAAGCCTGCTCCCGGGCTGTGGAACTCCCTGCCACTAGACCAGGCTGAAACTTCCGCAGCTGTCTTTCTCTTAGGATTCATTCAGGCAAACTGTTAACCAACTGATGTGGAAGAAGCTTTCAGTTTGTGTGTTTGTGTGGGTTCTGTCCTTTTTCCCTTTTCTTGTGCTTTTAAATGGTTTTAAAATCCCATTTTCATCGACTGTGGCTTTTACCACAATAATCTGTGTAACTGTGATTTAATGTTAAAATTTGTTGTGCTTTTAAGTGTACCTGTTTTTTTACGCCTTGGTTCCCAGTCTTGGAAGAAAGAAGTTTGTTAGCAAGAACAGATGTGAAGGTTTTCTGCTCACCAGCCTTGTGACCAAACTTTGGACCAGACCAAAGCTTCCCCCAGTGGGCCATTTTACTATTGGAAGAAAGATGTAAATAAAGCATAGGTTGAAATGATGTCCTCAAGGAGCTTAATATGCTTTGCTTCCGGGTATACTCGGGAAAAATCGATCAGGAAGACGGCAAAGCCGTAACGCAAGCTTGGTTGAGATTAAGACTCTTTGAGGCACAACTTAAGTTTTCCTTCCAAGGAACGACGCCGAGGATTGCTCCGTATAAAATAAACACGTCGATCCTCGACCGATCCGGATCCTTGGCTAAACAAAACAAACAAACAAAACAAACATATTTGGACCAAACATGGTCTTCATCCTCCGCTTTCGTGGATCGGAGCCCATCTCGTCGGATGCCTCCAAAACGGGCTGCAGTCCACAAAACAACAGCAACGCATTGCCAAACAAAACGTGTTCGTCCCTGAAGCGTCACACAAACCAAACGCGTGTCGCGCGTCCGCACACACTTTTTATGATGCGCAGAAGGCGAGGGATCCGATCGCAGCCCGCCTCGCGCCTTCTTCCCCGGGACTCCCTCCTTCGGTCTTCCCGGATTGGAAATCGGGGCACAAAAAAGCAGCAAACCCCTCCCGC